GTCTGTCTGTCTGTCTGTCTGTCTGTCTGTCTGTCTGTCTGTCTGTCTGTCTGTCTGTCTGTCTGTCTGTCTGTCTGTCTGTCTGTCTGTCTGTCTGTCTGTCTGTCTGTCTGTCTGTCTGTCTGTCTGTCTGTCTGTCTGTCTGTCTGTCTGTCTGTCTGTCTGTCTGTCTGTCTGTCTGTCTGTCTGTCTGTCTGTCTGTCTGTCTGTCTGTCTGTCTGTCTGTCTGTCTGTCTGTCTGTCTGTCTGTCTGTCTGTCTGTCTGTCTGTCTGTCTGTCTGTCTGTCTGTCTGTCTGTCTGTCTGTCTGTCTGTCTGTCTGTCTGTCTGTCTGTCTGTCTGTCTGTCTGTCTGTCTGTCTGTCTGTCTGTCTGTCTGTCTGTCTGTCTGTCTGTCTGTCTGTCTGTCTGTCTGTCTGTCTGTCTGTCTGTCTGTCTGTCTGTCTGTCTGTCTGTCTGTCTGTCTGTCTGTCTGTCTGTCTGTCTGTCTGTCTGTCTGTCTGTCTGTCTGTCTGTCTGTCTGTCTGTCTGTCTGACCCTTATAGACTCGGAAACTACTGAACCGATTGGCGTGAAAATTTGTATACAGGGGTTTTTGGGGCCGTGGAAGGTTCTTATGATGGTTCGAGACCCCTCCCCCTTCTGTAAGGGGGGCTCCCATACAAATGAAACAGAAATTTCTGCATAACTCGAGAACTCCTCTTGTGGTTCAAACAGTAACTACCTACGTTACTTCTGAGATCTTTTGAATGTTTGGCTCCCGTTTGACAGTTTGACTCGGCTCCCAGATGACAAACATTTTGAGTTAGTTCGCAGTACTCTGGTATACAGTATCTCCTCCGGCTTTCCTTAATCCGACATCACGGTCTCTAACGGAGCTTTTTTTTACATTGGTAACATTGATTTGTATGGACTTGACAGTCAGATTATCAAATTTGGTTCTGTTCTGCTCAAAGACACACGAGACTACAAAAATAGTTTAATAAACTGATTATGAATTGTGCATACGACCTCGCATACGACTGAAAATCAAAACGACATTTCTCGCTGGCATCACTGGACTTCCTATGCCACTAATGTTAATTTTGACGTGAGACGCGCGTTGCGGTTTGGTGTGCGCACGACAATGATATGAATTTTAAGCTTGGATTTTATTTATTGTTCATCATTTCCGCATTCGCCCTATTCAGATAACCCTTCTGAAACTTGTGAGTTTGACAGAACCACCAGAACCAAACTGTTGGGGTACACTGGCAATATACTGGAGTTGTCAAGTTGCCCCCGGGTTTAAATTGCCTCACTATACCATCTGATCACTATTTTATTTTTACAGATAGCCTTAACTCGTTGGAGGCTATTCGATCAATGAGGCCCATGAAGCACTCCTCGTAATTCCTGACCGAAATCCGAGCTAAATTGAGTACTTTATCTAACTGCTCCTATACCATCACTTTAGTCTGGGTCCCATCTCATTGCTCTATTCCGGGTAACGAGGAAGCAGACTCGTTGGCTAAAGTGGGCGCTATGGAAGGCGATATTTTTGATCGACAAATCGCCTTTGCGGAATTTTTCTCAATTACCCGTCAGCAAGTCCTCACCAACTGGCAACAAAAATTGAATGAGAGTGATCTGGGAAGATGGTTACATTCTATTCTCCCACATGTATCGAACAAGCCGGGGTTCAAAGGATTGGACATTAGCCGTGTCTTTATACGTGTCATGTCAAGGCTCATGTCCAATCACTACTCGTTAGACTTGCATTTCTTTCTAATCGGACTCGCAGGCAGCAATTTGTGCGCTTGTGGTAGTGGCTATCACGCTATCGACCACGTGCTTTGATCATGCACCCTCCATTGTGTTGCTAGATCCGAGTTATCCGCATCCCTCAGGGCCCGAGGAAAACAACCTTTGCAAGATCTCGGCTCGCCAAGAGAGACATCTTGGCGAGCCGAGATCTCGACTATTTAAATTTAATTTATGTGTTTTTAAAACGGATCGATCTAAGGATTTAGTAGTTAGTGTCATATTGTGTTCTCCCAAGTTGGGGCCTGTTCATAAACTACGTAGACAGTTTTTTTGAATTATTGAACCCCCCCCCCCTCCCCCTGCGTAGACAATTGTTCATACAAAAAAAAATTTGTATGAGCCGTGGATAATTGTCAAATCCCCCCCCCCCCCGCCCACTAAACTGTCAACGTAGTTTATGGACAGCCCCTTGTTTGCTGCCCATCGGTGTACCCCCATGTTTGTCTTTTTCATCTCATCAGTATGTCGCTTAGTTCGAGATCGAGAGCACATTGCTCGAAAAAACCTTGTGTTCTCAATCCCTACCCTACCATCCGTTTGTTACCATTTGTTACCCCTAACCTCGAGATAGCCGCGAGTAATCGGTCCCCGCTTTACTAACGTTAGCTTTAAGTAATTTTGTAACCCAAACGATGAATATCGGCTCCGCAAAGCTACGGCTAATGAGCCTGGAAAAATAAACGCATTATAAAAAAAAACACATCTAATGATCTCAAAATTCAGAAAATCATTTTTATAGCAAGTGAGTGGAAGCAACCCCCCAAGTAACCAAAAGTTCTAATAAAAGGCTATTTGTGGCTTAAGGGGGGAAATACAAGTAAAAAAAATTTTTTTATTGATTTTTTATATTTTACTTCAATTTTTTTTTAAATGCTACGAGCACGATGAAGGAGTGATCTTTGGCCCCGGTATCGCCGATTAACCGTAAGTTCCAGAAATCATGTTTTTACACAACCCAAAACTTTAAACGGGTTTTTTTTCAAAACGGTGTTTTCCAAATTGGCGGGAAAGATAACTCAAAAAGTTCTCATCTCAATGACTTGAAACCTGGCGCATCTTGAAGGAAATAGATTTTTACTCTATGTGAACCACTGATATCATGAAAAAATTACAAAAAATAATGTTCAGGTCTGCCTAAAGTGGAAAAAAAACAGTGAAAAATCAATTTTTTTTTAGATATTTTTTTCTAAATTTTTAAATTGTTTTTTTTTTTGGTTTTAGAGGTTCACATGGAACAAAAATCTTTTCAGAATAAGGTTCAATTGATAAAAGTAAGTTTTGTCCATTTTTCAGGTCTCTAGAATGCCCGCCAATTACCAATCCCCACCGGAGGCGACCTCCTTCCGATGTGACCCCACAGAGGTCACACACCAATGAAAAAAATCTCAAATGTAAAGGAAGATTTAAGCAATTGAATGCCAAAAAACTCAAACGTTTGCGTTGTTTCATTTGCTCACAAAAAATTCCGAAAATCGTCGAGTTTTTGACGTGTTACTTGTATTTCCCCAGCTTGGTTGAAGGTGGTCTATAGAATTCTAAGCAGCCTCATTTTTAAGTCGTTATAAGAACTTGAATGTTCCGGTATCATAATTGAAGAGCATTCTAAGCAGCTTCTGGCGGAACTTGAACGGAACTTTTAGAAAATAAATTAAAAAAGGTTTGTGTCCTCTCTACACCAATTCTATTAGTTCGCACTTTTATGAAAGTTATTTCTAAAGGCAGGTATTAATGTGTATTGATTTATAAGCATTAGTAATAGAGAATTGGAGCTGTTTGAAGAATTAAACCCAGTCCTTCTCCGTGAGAGCTCCAGCATGAACCGCTGCGTCATCTGATGAGATATAATATAGTGAGCTGTTGTCCCGCCTAGTGTTGGAGTTTTCAGTGCCAACTGACTGACTGACTTGAATACGAAACACAACACCTTGATGAATTTTAAATTGGTGTTTGCCCGCATGGTATTCCATCACATTTGTTGCGCAGTGGTTAGCGTTCGTAGATCGCATGCCGAATACACGGGTTTGAATCCAGGAAATTACTTTTTAATTTTTTTTTTGTTTGGATGGAATGTTGATGCACTGCATAAATATAAGAATTGTGATTTATTCGGGCCACTGTTCATTTCATATTTACGTACATTAAATTTTGTTACTAATAAAGACTTGTGCGGATTGCTTCATGTGGATTGAAAGTTCTGTCCGAAATATCAAATAAAGATTTGAACTTTATGGAACTTGAAAGTTCTGTCGGAACTTTATGGAACTTGAAGGTTCGGTCGGAACTTTATTTGAACTTTACGGAACTTGGAAGTGATTTTAATCGTTGAATGCGGAACTTTTGGTTACTTGGGCCTGTATGAAACTATGATTTATTATAATAATAATTTATATGTAATATAATTAGCCAGAAGAGGAGGTAAAGTGTGTGTATGACACATAAAACCTGTCAATTTCGCTTCCAGAGTGTCAGAATTAGCGATTAGTTATAACGAAGAATACTCACTAATTTGTTTTTTTTTTCTTTATTTAACGTCGCTCTCTGTTCCGCAATCTAGTGCCATCCATTGACGGCAATCGAATGTGCAGGAAGACAGCTTAGCTTACCCACCTGCGTAGGATATCGCACCCATTCAACATACATGGGCCGGGACCAACGGCTTTACTTTCCGTCCGAAGGAAGACGTGACCAGAGATTTTTAGCCGCAGAAAAACCCCCACCGACCTCGGCTAGGATTGAACCCAGACCCATTGTGGTGAGAAAGCAGTCACGCTTACCACTACACCACCGGCACCGGCAGTTTCATAATTTGACAAAGTAGCATTTTTTAGCTGTAATGAGCATTTTCAAGCCTGGTGATGGATAAATAATGTGATTTACATCGGTCTCTTGAAGGTACTCTCGTCTACGTTCGAACTGTAATGTTACATTCAAAAAGCTCTCGGAAAACGACAATATGGTTTTTCCATGGATTTTTTCATTCGGAAACAATGTATGGAAACCCAACCAGAAAAGATTATGGCGGTGCAGCTTGATACTTTGTTGAACACTTTCCAACACACCTAAATCGGCCAAATATTTCGGATTAAACTGAAAGAACGCTCGAGAGGATGTGCAACAAATTCGAAGGGAAACGAACGCCATATAAGAAAAAGGAACAATGGACGATGTGTATCGAATAGACACGAAAACGAACAAATAGGCTATACTGATTTATTACAAGCTGTTGATTTCACATTTTCCATTTATATTAAATAAAAATTTACAACCGAAAAGCTTAAAGATTTTAGATTTTCAAAACGAAAGAGTAGAGTTCGCGGGCTATTTTCGTTATTTGCTTGCCCTGAGTTCCTCCAATCCTTCGAGTGTCCTTCGAGTCCACCGATGGAGATAATACTCGCTAGCTCTCGTTCTTTGCGCGAATCAATGCTTGTTTTTGTTTCTCTGCGACTGCGGTTGGAGGTTAAATCTTAAAGATAGTTTTTTTTTTCTAATGCTAGTTTCTGTTCTCACGCTGTGGCTCGCTCAATCGCATACATACTCGTATTGCTGACATCTCACTGTTTCGGGCCCTCACCTCGCGAGAACGATCGTACCGGCCCGCGAGGTGAGGCCCCGAAACAGTGATCTCGGCCGCCAATGATAAGAATAATTTTAACTGTGTTAACTGACACTAACTAGCACTAAACGATTCTACATTCATATATGTGTGGAGTAAGGATAAAAAAGGTAAAAATAGAAAAAAAAAGTAGGATTTTTCTTCAAGGATGATAAAGGTTTTGGTTATTTTAATAGTTCTTGTGTCTAGTTTTGTTTTGTTGCCTTTAAGTTTTTATTCAACTTGTTGATGATTGTTGGTTCGGTTTCTTGGTACACATACAATAAATTGGATTTTAGCAATGATAGATTCCGGAGTTTGACAACTGAAAATTTCTCATACACCTGAAACGAGATAAGAAAGGAAAGGAAAAGAAACATTGTCATAAGAATAATACCAATATTAGTTTATTCTCCCTGTTTAGTTTAGTCAAGTTTGCACTAAAACTGTTATCTTACATAATTAGCCACCCAGTTAAACATTTGAGTTTTCTTATGAGCTTCAATAAGAGTTAACTCGAATCAAGAAATCAAATTAATTGGGATATAAATCATACAAGTTTTGTAGGTTTTCTTTCCCTGGTAATGTTGAACATTATGTTCTAGTTTGATAATTCATAGTACTAGGAATTTATTTATCTTTGAAAAGGTTCCGTTAGAAGTACACACAATTTGTTTTGGAAGGAAACGTGACGTATCTTTGACTTTGACGCTAATCTCGGAAAATCTCAAACATTCTCCCGCGCAATTCTGGCTCACATAAACTGGGTTCTAAGTAAATATGTACGAATGAATCTGTCGTGTTTCTTCACCTGAATTTGAAAGAAGCTTTCTTTATCTTCGGATCTTGATCTTGGTTAACGACGCACGTCCTTGGATGGTGGTAAGGGTAGATTAGATGTTTTGCAGGTTTCCTTCTCGTCTGGAAATTTGGTATTCCCGGTCTTGAATTCGGTCGTTGATGTTGTTTTTGAAGTTGACGTTGTTGTTTCTGAAGTTGACGTTGCTGATGTTTTTTTTTAATTACGGCTGCTCTTTTTGTTGTGTGTTGCTGGGAGAGTAGGAATTACAGCATATCAGCCAAGTTTGCTGGCATCTCCTCGATGGTGGTGTTATAATGTTTCTCAATGTCTGTCAGCACTCTCTTGTCAGCTTCAGTAACGAAGTTAATAGCAACTCCCTTACGACCGAAACGTCCACCTCGACCGATTCTGAAATGGGAATATAAACAGGAATAGTTTAGTAAATGGCATCATAATTTGTTTCCTAAATGTAATATCACAACCATGTAGGTATAATAGGTAATGTAAAATCAAATTGCTGCACTGCAGTCCACAAAAAGGAAAACAGATATGTCTATTTTGATTTGTTTTGTTATCCCTCATTAATAGAACACCCAAGCAATAGCTTTTGCTTGCAAAGGTGCTTTCTCAATGAGAGTTGGTATACCACGTGTCTATTTTATATTCTCAACCGAAGAGACAGAATACCTACTGCAAAACTATGTAATTCAGCGCAATAAAGTTCACTTGTTTTACGTTTTTAATTTGCACACAATACGGATGTTTCTAGGTCCCCTTACAGTACCATCCCATGTCTTCCAGAATCCAGTTCAGGTCACGACTCCATATTCATGATGATCAGGAAATCTCGATTAGCAATTTTCCAGTTCCAATATTTGGTAATTTTCCATAAATTAAGCTTAACAGCGAACGCGATTGAGCTGAAGAGATCACTAGGTTAATTGGGTCATTATTAAGACAGCATCATTTTTTCTGGACCCTAAATTTGGTTCTGCGTGAAGTTTTCCAGGATTTCAGTTCACTGTTCTCAAGCATTTCCCTTCACAGAGTTCTTTTCAGAATGCTTCTAAAGTAAATTTGAGATTCTTCCTGTGAGTCCCTTAAGAATTTCTTTTCTAAAGATATGGGACTTTCTGGAAGTTCTGCGAATAAGATGAATTACTGTGGGGCATATATTACTACCAGCGCCACATCCACAGGACGTAGTGACATGGAAGCATCTAAAGGGCAATGTGAACGTACACAGTATAAGGGGAAACCTAGTGCGCCAAACCAAAGTCACATTATGTTTTACTAAAATATCTTCGGTAATAATCAACGGACTTCTGATGTTTTATCATCTTGTTGGAAAGGAAATTAATTCATATTTCGTATGGTTCAAACTGGTCTGGTATTGAGACATGGTTCCTGATCATATACAGTTCATCGAAAACATAAACTTATTTGTATGGTTTCTATTTTTGTGAAGGCACATGGATAATATTTATTATTTGTTGAAGAAATTCGCCAAAAAGTTTGTTTTGTTGCTCAAAATCATTACTTTCTTAATTTGAAAGGATGCAAGAAATACCCGTACCCGACTATTCCACTTTTGTTGTTACCCGCACCCGCCCAAACCCGGAAATGGTTAGTCAAATTTTTGGTTTTCTTTTTTTTTTTTGTCGAGTAGACAAACTGTTTTAGCAAGTTACATATACATGTACACACAGTGTTCACTCGGCTGTCGACAAAAGCAGACCACTCTCGATGTGTGCCACGCGATCGTCTGTTTTCTCGGCAGCAACCATTGTGTGGTCCTCCTCATTGTTCTTCATCAGCAGTTCTTTCGGTCGATGCGTCGTCGACTTTGGAAAGCAACCGTTTCGTGATGAGTGTGTGAGTGCTGACCACGTTTTGCGTCCATTGCTGCAATGGACGCGCTCTGACCCTCGTTGGCGTACAACAATTTGCCATACAATGAAACTACTGGAAGCGGCTCCAGTTCTGATGGAGGAGGCTTTTTGGATAGCGGAAGATAAAGTGTTTATTGTGTTGTACCTTTTGACTATATTTTTAAGATGTATTGTATAGTGACCAAGAATCCTCGGCTCTGTAAAGTTAATTCGGTTGAGCCTTATCAAATAAATTAAAAAAACAAAAAAAAAAAATATATACATGTACACAGGGTGACTATTAAATGTTCATTTTAATTTCTGAATATTTTCCCGATTATCCGGTTCAAAACTTTTCGCGGTTATTAATATTCGATAGCTTTTATTATCTATGAACACAGCAAAAATATAGACTTGACGTGTGAAGAGATGTTCTGTTTCTAGAATGTTTCAAATGCTCATGGAAAAAATGCTACTTAAGAAAGACTAACAAATATATATATAAAAAAAATATTGTTTTGAGAAATATACCAAATATAAAGAAAGAAAGAAGGATTAGCCATTGCTATTTAATTCCACTACCTTAATTGCTTATCTTTGACAGATACGGGAATTGTAGACTTCCTCAGTGTCTTGTACTAATGCTCGACTTTCACTAAGTTAGTACACTGAAGAATTTTGCCCATTGTAAACGAATTACGCGTATCTGTCGCAATTAAGGTAATGCAACTAAATGGATATTAGAAATACCTCTCTCTTTCTGTATACACTTTCCACTATAGACGAAATTGAGCAGGATATAACTAGATGTACATAAGTGAAAGTTCTTCAAATTAAATATGCACTAAATAATTTTCACAAGTTAGTTTTCTTGAAATTCCAAATTCTTTTGTATTCTCAAATGCATAGGATACGTTGCTGATAAATTACAAAATTACAATTACATCATTATTTCATATATCAGCTTGAATTACGTTGATCGATATTATATTTTTTTTTTTGCTGTGCACTACACCACCGGAGCCAGCAAAGTTCAACAATCCATCGTTGCTTATGCCTTTGTTGTCGTTTGGAACCAGTTTTGCGAGGTAGGCGACGATTGTACGTATTTCTCGCGTAACTTTTGAAAAGGGCCTATTTATAGCCTGAACAATACGTAAAGAGCAAATTGAAACATTGAACGTCGCGTGAAAGTGGAACTTAATGAAGGCCTAAGTACTTTTTCGTAGTTTTTAGTTTTCGGATTTGAAAGATCGTCGGTTACAGTGGCCTGCTTACTGAGCAGAAAAACGCGGTCCCAGGTCCTTACATATCAAAGAGATTTATGGTAAAATCGCTTGTGTATCGTGTATTTTGCGAAACTCGTTGTTGTCGTTGGTTCCGGGTTTGAATCGATACAAAAATTTGAGCAACGGTATTATGTGATATGAGGGGCTCGGTGGCCTTAGAGCAACCGTTTTTGCTTACTGAGCAGAACATCATGAGTCTAATCTCAGGCCCATCCACATTCAAGATTCGTCAATCGTTTTATTTGTTAATATGACTACATGGTAATAACAGCAACTCGATGACTAAAAAGGTGCTCGTCTGCCTAGTGGCAAACGTTTTTGCTTACTGTGCAGAAGACCGTGGGTTTAGTCCCAAGCTCCTTCGCGTTATATGATCGTTAGGACATCAATTCAGCTTATCGTTTACCAAAACGAACCCTGCTGCAAACCCAACCCTCTTATCCAACATCCCAGTGATTCCTCGTGGAAGTGCAGAGGTGTTCTCGGCTTCCATCAAAGCGAGTGTCACAATCCTTCCCATTCCTTTCTTGACCTGTGTTCGGGCGCGGCCGGCGCTGGTATTGCCTAATCAAGCTCAAGCTCAAGCTGTATTCTCAAATGCATAGGATACACGATACATAGGACCTTTGGTTTTTTCAGTATCAGTTAGGACCTGTCAAATTGGTCTGATAGCAAAGATTAATGTTACTTAGAATACGGTTTAGAGGTCAGATAATTACAACTACAACATTATTTGTAATTGTTGATGGGCTTAAAATTACTATTCTGTCACTATTGAGTAAACAACGTTTATATTAAGAACTTGTCGATTATTTTTTCTGATGTATGCAGGAAAAATGTAAGTATATGGAAAATTTCCATATTTTATTAATATTCGGTATTCGATCAAATCTACATCGCTGTCCTCCAGTGGATCGAGATCCTCATCAAAGTGGTCTACAACGGTATTATTTGTTCTTCTTCCTGTTTTTTTTCTGGAACTAAATATTTAAGGAATGTTGCAAAATAGTCTTTTTGCTTGATATATGGCATCAGTTTGCGTAAATCGTCCAATTTAGTGCTTGGCAATTCAAGTGATTGATCCGCAATTGGATCCAAATCCACGCTTGTAATATCGCATGTCGAATTTGACAGAATTTTGAATAAGCTTTTGCCTTGGTGTACTCTTGGAATGGCGATTAATTCGTCAACTCCATACCAGAACCAGAGCGATTGATTACAGGAATCGTAAATGAAACTTTCTCATCTCCCAGTAGTTAGATGTTTGATCCATAGGACTTTTTATATACATATCTAGATAAACATTTCAAAAGGTTCAATCTGAGGTTTGTAAACAAATCGAGTTTAATGCTTCTCTGTAATGCAGAGCTCACCATCTCTAAGTATTGTTCTAGAAATTTAAATTACCAATATTCAGAAAATTATAAAAAATATGTGAAAAACGTACAATTATTTGATTTTTTTATAATATCGCACATCTCTCTGATTGGACCTTAAAACATGTTTACAGTCCAATCTGTCATACAACAAAAAAAATTACAAATGCTAATAGGACCTTTGTTTTATCTCGTGAAAGGAGAAACTAAAAGTCATAATAGTTAGTTGGAAATGCTATACTAATATCAACATGAAGCTTTAGTGTGATAATTTATTAGCTATATTTATTATATATTGTATGTTCTTATCGTTAAGAGGGGGTTCGCGAACTTCAGGTTGCGAATCGATAAGGTAGGGGAAAGCTTCCCCCATCCGATAGATCCGGATCTATCTATTGTCTAACTGTCAAATTTACGTCAATGTAACGCAATCGGATCTATTGTGGGTGAACCTATAGTGTTGTTAGTATGCGTAGGCAAGCTCCGATTCACGAGAAAAGACCGCAAGAAATTTTGTTTACAAAGCTGATGAGACCGTTTCATTTGTTGATCTTGAGCCATATGGCCATCTTACCCCACTTTCCTCTACATAGCTACACAGCAATCCAATATACTGAGCAACAAAGCTTATGCCAATGACACAGCATATTTACTAATCCAAGGCTGTCCTCTTGCTATCAGTATGATTTCATGAGCAAATTATTACATAGGGAACGGCTTCACTGCCCATGAAAGCGTAACAGCAGTTAGCTTTTATTAAACAAATCTCGGAATTGAAATTAATTTCGATTAATTTTTCAAAATGATAATTATATAAAAAGTAGCTATTCATCCAGCGACCAATTTCAAACCGTAATTTGCTTTCCAGAGTTGGTCCAAAATAGGAACACTGACCCTATGTTAGTAGTGATGGTGTTTTTATCAGTTTATCAGTTCAAAAACAAATGCAACACGATAACCGATAATGAGCTACAGTTTAACCTTCGCGCGTTGATGCTGCATGCCAGTTTTTTTTTTGTTCAACAATTCTCTTTTCGCTCATTTCAATGTAATGATGTCAGAAATGCGCATACGTATCGCGTCACGTGTTTTTTTTTTCTTCTCAGTTTCCTGAACATTCATATCCGTAGCATGAGGAATAATCTCCTATGAGTCACATAAAACAGCAATCACCACTCACGGTGAATGGTGTGTAACAAACATTGAAGGATCTGAAAAAAATGGAAAACATATCTCAAACATTTTACAGACTTACCTGTGGATGTAATTTTCTCGTAACGTTGGTAGATCATAATTAATAACTAGGGAAACCTGCTGCACGTCAATACCACGAGCGAGAAGATCCGTGGTGATGAGGACACGGGACGATCCAGTACGAAACTGCTTCATAATCAAGTCACGATCACGCTGGTCCATGTCACCGTGCATGGAAGATACGGTGAAACTCTCAGCGGCCATATCGGCAGTCAGCTGGTCGACCTTGCGACGGGTGTTGCAGAAAATGACGGCCTGAGTGATTGAGAGCGTGTCGTACAGATCGCACAGTGTACCAAGTTTCCAGCCTTCCTGTTTTACGTCGATGTAGAACTGTTTAATACCTTCCAGTGTCAATTCCTCTTTCTTGACCAGAATCTTGATCGGATCGCGCATGAAGTGGGTGGAGACTTCCAACACTTCAGCTGGCATGGTAGCAGACAGAAGAATGACCTGTACATCGTTGGGCAACATACGGAAAACGTCCTGAATCTGGTCCTTGAAACCACGGGACAACATTTCATCAGCTTCGTCCAGGACGAACAGCTTGATGTGGGTGGTTCGCAGGAAGCTGCGATTGATCATATCATGCACACGTCCCGGGGTTCCGACCACGATGTGGCAACCCATCTCCAGTTTACGCATGTCATCGCGGACATTCGTACCTCCAATGCAAGCATGGCATTGGGCGTTCAGGTAATCACCAAGGGCGATCACTACCTTCTGGATCTGGGTGGCCAACTCTCGGGTTGGAGCCAGAATCAGCGCTTGGCATTCTGGAATGCTGGTGTCGATCTGCTGCAAGATCGCGATGGAAAACGTTGCAGTTTTACCAGTTCCTGTAAGAGAAAAGATATCGTCAATCAAATCGGAGCGTGTAGATTTCATTATGGCATATGGATAGTAACGGAAAGCATCGAAAACAACGCGTGAGATTTATTTATGGCAAGATAAAAATATCTCATTCAACTTACGCGTAGCACAACTCTATAACGTGCGCTGCTTGATGATTGACTTTGTTTGTGGCCACTTTCAATGCCAACTGCCCGTGTAAGCTTCGCTCAAAACGAACCATTGACAGGGGTAGACGGGGCAAAACGATCCCCTAAAAGTTGACATCATTTGTATATGTAATAATTGCTATAAATACATTTGAACATTGCCTACTCTCGTTTTTTTTTCATGTCTGTTTTAGCACCTACGAATTTATTGATACAATTCATTTTTATTTTTTTTTTATAAATTAAAAACGTTACTTTTTACACTGTTCTCAGACACCCCGGGTCAAGATGAAGACGTGCACCAATAACAGAAGTAGTGTTAAAGTTTTTAAGAATTATATTACTTAATTAATGGGGCCTCCCTTAGCTCAGTAAAGGTAAAGGCACAGCTACAAAACAAGACCATGCTGGAGGTAGCTGGGTTCGAAACCCGGTCAGGTCTAGGAATTTTTCGGGTTGGAAAATTACTTGACTTTCCTGGGCATATAGTATGAAGGCATCGAAAGCTCTCAATTAATTAATAACTGTGGAAGTGCATCTAGAACACTAGGGTGAGAGCACGCAATAAGCTAATATGGATAAGCAATAAGCTTGAAATGCGAGGAAGAAGAGAAATTACTTAGTTAATCAAAACAAAATACCAGCACCAGGTTGAAATAGAAATATATAACAAACGAAGATTATATTGTTTATTGCAAATCCATATTACAATAAGAGAATTTTTTTCGGTCGGAATATTTTCATCAGATTTATATGCAATTTCTAAAAACATAAGATTTTGTTTGTAAACGTTAAGGATGCTCATCTTGCCTCGTCTACCCGAATCATAATTGAAGCTGAGTGTAAGTATCGTTGTGTCGGGAATCTAAAAAAAAATATTCTCCGAAATCTTGATTCTTCATACAACGTCAACGTCGTTAACAGAATTCGATCAACATAGGTAGGCGACGACGGGGTAAGATGCCCACCATTTGGATTATTGCAACAATCAACTCTTGAAAAAAATTATGCATGTGTTAGTATAGTTGACGTTGTAAACGTTGTAACAATACATTTTTAGTGAACTTGACAATGCTTTCCTAGTTATTTTCGTTTGTAACTGTAGTATATGTAGTATGTATAATCTGTACTTTTTTTACAACACATCATTGGGACTATTTCTAGTCTATTCATTCAAACATAACAAATAAACAAATAAACAATGTGTATGGCGGCGACCGGCACTTATTTTATGTTTACGAAATTGAAGTTTTAGAGCTACTAGGGTTTTTGATCTAATTTCCGTCCTACTAAGTACAATCCTTGCTTTATCCCTCTTTCTTGAACGGGTTTTAACAATAAATGGAATGTTTCTATCAAAGATGACTTCCAAATTTATTCCCCTTTCATTAGTTACCGTTCAATTTGGTAAAGAGCCACACATTGTTGAGATATTGTTAAAAATCTAACACTGCTTCCTGATTCCAAATTCGTCCTACGAGTTTCAATTCCGTCCAAACGCATTGAAACGCCATTGGATTTTCTTCGTCGTACGGGTGAAGGTAGAAAAAGCGTGTTTGCTAGGAGCGCTTCTTTTGTTTTGAGAACAATGAGTGTAAATATTTACACAATACGCTCAAATAGGCTTTGTGTTGTAGCTTGTGAACTAACGCATCGGTACAAACGTATTACTGATTTGTGCACGGTGAAATCATTGATTATACTGCTGTTTTTTGCTAGATAGAACGGAAATGGGCGATTACGACGAAGTAGCGCTCTACCCTACATCATTTATCATGTAAAAGTAATGTTACTATTAGGAAAACACAAGTCTGTTCGATGTACTTGAAGAGAAAAATAGAAATTTTTCTTTAAATTATAAGGTAGGTATTACATAATCGGTTTCAGCTTGACTTGTATCGGGGTATGACGGTCAGTTTTAGATTAAATGCGTTATACCTAAAGATTGGAACTGAATGCAGTAAACATCTGTTATCAGAATAAATTCGGAATTCGATCAATATTTGTCCATGTAGTGAGAAAATTGTTAGCTAATCTGTCCCCCATCACCTGAACTAATTTTCCGAAGACAAAAACTTCTTAGATTTTATTTCTAAACAGATGGTCAGCTTAGGGCAACTTCTTAGATGATGAGGACATCTATGCGAAGTCCACATGTAAACTAACGCCGCGTAGTTAGAGAATTATCAACTAACTTGTCCACAATTTAGAAGACCTTAGTCAGCTCAACAACATTCCCGAAGACGGAAACTTCCTACATATATAGTCAAGATCTCCAGATATATTTTATACAGGAAATTGACTTGCACAATAGCGCCGCATAGTGACAAAATTCTGAACTACTGTTCTCTAACAAATTTGACATAACCCACTGTAAAACTTTGCTCAAGACAGTAACCTTCGATATGGCCGGGATTATGTCATATTCCATCTAAACGTCTTATCCCTAGGGGTGGCCAATCTTATCAAGCATCAGTGACGTCGCCCTAACCTCAATCTACCTGTGCACCAGCTCTCAAAACGTTCGCAAATTTTTAAATATTACTTACTATGGATAAATTTCAGTAAAACTAGAAGATTTTGTACATTTTGCAATCGATTTGAATGTAATTATTGCTAGATAGGGGAAATGGATGTAATGTAAGCCTAAATGCCCCTATTTTGGGCTCATACATAAATTTAGCAATTGACTAAATTTTCAATAGCGACCAAAAATATCCATTAGTACCTTCCCAATGACGCGTTCATCTAGATAAAACTTATAAATAGCAGATTTTCAGCGATGGGCCCAATCTTAGATCCATAGGCCAACATTAGAGCCATTTCAATATTATTTTGATTTTATTTAATTGAAAATAAAATATGATATTTGATTGAAACACAGCATGCACCTTTAGCACTGGAAGTTACTTTTTAAATCTTTCTGTTGTTTCATGTAAAAGTAAACTAGTTATCTAAGGAATTCCAGTACTTTGGAGTTAATATTACATTAATGAATTCTAATAACATATTTATGAGGATATAAACGAAGGCAATATATCAAGAAGACTGGCAAGTCTTCCATTTTCTCAAACGACCGGCATGAGAAAGGCACAATCGCGTCATCTGCCGCTCAAAGATAAATGATCCACGCGAATTGGATAGCAAAGGTTCCATGCTCAGAAGAAATGTTTGTGCATTTGCTCATTTTTCTATGCATTGCTTCCACCTTCGCTCGAGCACAGCGCTACTGTGTCTGTCGCTCGGATTCAGGCAAAGTTGCCAGTCTTCTTAATATGTTGTCTTCGAAATAACGCAGGATTCATACTGCTTTATTGATGAACAATATAAGGAGGACTATGAGAAATATTACAACATTTTTTACTGTTAATATTAAACTACTTTTAATATTTGTGTGTATTACTTCTGCGTGAAGTTAGCGATTAACATTTCAAATAACAGGCTGAAGTGGTAATTTTTATACGGTAGATGAGGAGATGAAAGTATAGAGTTGATAGTTACGTTAGAGTACGGCAGTGTGAAAATTGTATATAGAGAGTAGAAAGCGAGCAGGGACAACTTTTAGGAAGGTACAAATCGGTTTGATCATCTCTCTTCACCAAACTCCCCCGTTGGAGAGATGCCGCTGATTACTAAATTTGACATCAAATTTTAAAATAATAACAAATTTTGTTATGTTGTTTTTCCTCCATAGTAGTAATAACATATTGATTACCTATTTTGCTTAAATTAACGAAAATTACGATATCAAAACCATACATTGATTTGTTATCATGATAGCTAAATTTGTTATATTTTCAATAACTTGCCGTTTAAATCTCATTTTTGTTATGATTACTGTTAACTCGGTTGGGAAAATATGTTATCATGATCATTGTTCCCGAACAGCGGAGGTCGGACATAACGATTTACTATCAGAACGTTGGCGGTATGAACGGCCTCGTGGAAGATTATCATCTGGCCGTCATGGATCACTGCTACGACATTTTAGTTTTGACCGAAACATGGCTCAATTATCGAACCATTTCAAACTATGTCTTTGGTGCTGGCTACGAAATATTTCGCTGCGATCGAAACACGAATAATAGTAGGAAAACTACTGGGGGAGGCGTCCTTATCGCAGTTAATTCCAAGCTGAAAGCAGAAGTTATCGAGGACGATTCCTGGAACAGGGTTGAACAAATGTGGGTGGCTATTCAACTTGGTGATCGTCAATTGCTTCTCTGTGCAGTGTACATTCCTCCAGATCGAACCCGTGACTTGGAGCTTATTGACGCACATTGTCGATCCGTCTTGGCCGCTTCAGACAAAGCAGGCCCTTTCGACGAAGTTATTGTTCTTGGCGATTTTAACCTACCGGACATTGCATGGACTCCAACCCATAGTGGTTTCTTTTGTCCTGATCACGAGCGTTCACCTTTCCACGTAGGAACCATCCAGCTCCTGGACAGTTATAGTACCGCAATTCTGTCACAAATCAATGGCCTGTTGAATGAAAACAACCGCACCCTGGATCTCTGCTTTGTGAGTGCTCGTGATACAGCTCCTTTCCTCTCCACGGCACCCGAACCTTTAGTCAAGGAAGTGCATCATCACCCTGCTTTAGTTATCGTGATCGAAAATAATATTGTCCATGATTTCACCAGCACTCCAAACGCTGTGTCATATGACTTCCGTAGAGCTGACCATCGCAGTATCGTCCATGTGCTGCCTAACCTAGATTGGGAGCATATTCTAGATCCTGTAGACGTCAACATTGCTGCACAAACCTTTTCTCACGTCTTGGCATATGTCATTGACAGATACGTTTCCAAAAAGATCATCCATATCGACTCTCG